CCAAGTCTTCTTTTACTTTCTGTAACTTACTTCTGATTTTACAGGTGGGAAAGGGAAAACTTACCCAGTGTTGCGTGCTCTCTCCACATCTGCCGGAGAGGGCTTCATTGCTGGTCCTGTTTCCACCCTCTCTGGAAGGATTCTGCTTGATCCCGTGGGAAGCTTCACTGGGGGGCTGCTGTGTTATTACTGTTTTCATTCTAGCAGCCTGCAGTTCCACAGGGACATAATGGGCTGAGGGAGGATGCTTTCCATGCCCGTGGTCACCTGAGCTGAGCAGCTACCAAGGATGCTTATTGTTTCTCAGGGCTTGGTGATGGCTGCTGCTCGGTGAACGTTTCAACCTGTGCTGACAGCCTGGGAAACACCATAAGCCCCAGAGAGTGGTACCTGCCAAAGGTCTGCAGGCCTTGAACTGTGTTACAGAGACCAAGGCTCTTCATGTGTAGCCTAAGATCCCGACTGCTTTCATTTGATTCCCATTGGTGTCAATTGAAAGAGGCAGAACAGCAGCCGAGAGGTGATGGATTCCGCAGTCGGCAGAACCCTGCGCTACCCATACACACACTCCCTGCCCTTCCATCAGGACAGGAGGGGACAGGAATGCCAGCAGCCAAACAGGAAGCACTTAGAAGCCCAGAAGCCTTTCCCAGGACCCTGGCTGCTCCTAGAACTGTGTCTAGCAAGTTCAGCCCCAAAGTGCTGCATCTTACCTCAGCAGTTTCTTTTAGTACATCAGGGCACCAGGCAGCGCACTGCCTCCACAGCACATCCCAGAGCTTGCTGGCTCCGTACACCCCAGCATGGCCTTGCTAGTAGGAAGCTTCCTTTTTTAATGTATTTTTCCCCACTTCTAAACCAACAACTACTTTAGGAGGGCTGGGGCACTGTAAAGCATTGACTGGTATTTCAGGGGCAGTTACTTTTCCAGCCTGCCATTCCATGCACCACGGCTTTTCCTTTCCATCCCATACAAAATGTGAATGTTACTAGCCACAGAAAAAAATCAATTGACTCTTCTCAGCCTGTTTTGTAACACAGAGAAAACCAGGGAAAAGAGGTTTCCCTCTGCTCCTTTGTCAACTTAATATTCTGGTCCTGTTCATCCTGGGCAAGTCTACACTGAAGAATTTTGATTAGGTTTCACAGTCTCTTTGGGGAAGACTTTGTCTTCTAGGCTATTTTATTTTGGCAGGGGATGCTCCCCTCACGCAGTGCTGAGCAAACAACTGCTTTCCCTCTTCTTTTTATCCTTCTACCAGAAAACCTCCTTCCTGTGCCTGACCTCAAGGAAAACTCAGCATTGCAAGATGAGATAAGGGGATCTCCGGCTGCTTGACCTCAGCAAAACAACTGCAGGAAGAGCCGTATTGCATTCCCTTTCCAAGGGACCTGGCCCAGTCCAGGGAAGACTGCATCCCATCCAGAATCCTGAAGGTCATTTGGCGCAGGCCAGCATTGGCTTAGCTCATGACTCCTGCTTTAGTGGGGATGCTGCCCTCCCCATCACCACCTACAAACCTTTCCTTGAGGGTGAAACTTGTTTTAACCCCTAGGCCAGTCCCACTTAGGACATGGAGCAGGTAACGGAGAGTGAGCTGGAGCCTTCCTCAGCACCTGGAGTGGAGATGAGTAACCACCATGGAGGAATACAGTCCAGAAGAGGATTAGGTCTTCCAGCATCCTGACTTCTCCTTTCAACAAGCACATGTCACACAATGAGGTGGCTCTGCCTGAGCTCCTCGGGCAGACAGGAGGCAGGAACAGTCAGCAGGACAAAGAAATCTCAGCAGCTTTCAGCCTGCCAAAGGTGTGTGTTAAAGACAGAGGTGAGACGGAGGGAACACAAAAGTGCAAAACTTGGGACACTTTGTTTTGTGTAAAAACTTACATAAGTTTATTGAACTGATCCAAACCAATTACCTATTTGGCCTGAATTCCACCGCTAAGTCTGCGAGCAAACCAAAGGCAAACTGTGGGAGCAGGAAGTATATCCCCTGTGAGAGAAACCAGAGTAAAAAACAAGCTGGACTTAAGAGTTCTTCCTTTTTCTTTAAAATTACATATGGATGCATCATTAATAGGGAGCAAGAATAGACCTTCACATTGAAATTACAGCTCAAGTTTCCAGTAACTGCAGAAAAGCAATCACAGAGGCAAAGGCCCGAGATGGCTAAAGCCCTTCGAACGCCGCTCTGGGGAAGGCGTCTCTCTACCGCCTACAGAAGTGCCACATTCAAATGAGGGAGGCACAGCTGCCAGGAATACATATTTCAGCCTCTGGGCTGCTTTCAGCACCTCGTTTGCATTTTCAACTCCATACACGAACAGAACCTACAGAATCTCATTTACAAGCAAGAACAGCAACCGACGGAGGCAGAGCCGCCAAGTCGCCTTCATCAGATTACAGACCCGAGGAGGCGAGGGCAAACCAAGAGCCTATCCCCAGAAGCAACGAGCACCATTAGGCTCAGCTCCTCTGAGCCACCACGGGCCACACAATTATCTGCCACCGGAATGTGCGCAACTCCCAGTAATGGGGGTTACAAATCCCAGTGAGGAAGCAGAGGACAGTCGTCACGCCATGCATATTCATCACATCGCCGGTTAAGCGATCTGCATGAAACATCTGGTCAAAACATGGATAGTCAATAGGAATGTATCCAAAAAACACAACAGCACAGCATCTCATCTCAACACAAGGAGCCGTGCGACACTTTGGTATATAGCTGTCACCTAATTCCTTCCGAAGCGGGTGCTTTGCCCACCGCTATGCATGAACCAGCACGAACAACAAAACAGTTCTCGACAAAAGTAGCCCTCGGAGAGAAGGAAACAAAAGCTAGAGAAGCCTGCAAATCTATTGTGTAATACAGATCCAGGGACCTCTTCCTAAAGCAGGGATACGCCAACACCACCAGGTCACAGCCCCTCAGGACATCGCACTGATTTAAATCAAGCCTCTTGCTAGCTCAGGACCTTTACAGATTCTTGGCACCCATCCTCAGCCCTAAATCTCCTCTCTCACTCAGAGGCCTCCCTCTCTCCCACTGACACTGTCCCCTCTTTAGTGGTTACATGGCACACATACAAGACCTTTGCCCAGAAGGCATTACAAAAGGAAAGCAAGCCGACCTGGGGTATTTTGCCACATCAGCTGCATGCCATTTGGCCCTACTTTTCAAAGTCAACCATCTGGACACATAAACTGTCCCTGGATTTGGACACAACTCTTTGTCTGTGGGAAGCAAACCAGGATCGTTGGTTTCCAGCCCACAAGTGCTCTGCTAGCCACACAGAATGTGAACTGCTTCAGAACATCATCCCAAAACAATCTTCCCCTAACAAAGCAACAAGGCAGTGGTATTCATACTATGACTTACTGACCTGAACAAACCAGGGGAGCAGGTTTGGGTGCTAGCACCAAACCCCTGTCAGCTCCATGGCACTTGTCACCTTGTATACCTGTAGGTGTTCTCCTTGCCACCTTCCTCTCCCCACCGGGTCCACCGTAAATAAAAGCATGATGTACTGACTTTTCCAAGCTGGCACAGTGACAGCACTGTTCCCTCCACAGACTGGCTAAACTGTGGGTGAACAAACGTCAAAGCACATACTTGGCACTTCTTTAACATCCCATTCCACTCTTTAATGGTGTTTACTTCCTTTTCTGAAACCAAGACATTTAATTGTGTTGAGGATGTTGGTCAACAGTACAGCATCTCATTAATACCAGTTACAATGCCATAAACATACCCATATAGGTAATTACTGCTCTATAGAACTAGGCCAGAGACACTTTTGCATCCTCATCGGTCGCTTACCTCTGACATTGCAGCGACTGAGAGATAACCTACTTAAACTGGAGGTCAAGGGGAGAAATAGGCTTCTAATATTAAACAACCATATCTTCATAAAACTTTGCTTTATAACAAAATATCTTATTAAACACAACTTTTCCTATGCCTATGTATGTATATATCATACAGAAGTGTTGGCTTAAGAGTTCTGCTATAAGGCAGCAAATGCCTTTCACTGCCCAAATGGAAAATACATCTTCAGTAAAGCTCTAGCTTATAAAAGCATCATCTTATGTTACACTGCCACCATCTCCCTGCTCTTTTGTTTTATGGGTACCACAGCTCCGCAGGTACGTGCCGCAGCCTCTATGCTACTAATGATGAGTCTTGCTCCATTTCCTATTGCTCATCTCAACAGGGCCAGGTAAATGACATTTTTGGCAGGGAGATGAGGCACAAATTAGTAATTTGTCTTAAATCCTCCCATTTTTAATCATTCCTCTGGACGCAGAACTACTCTGCTCTGGCTGGTCCCCACATCCCCGACCTGAAGACTATGAGATAATACTTGTTCCCCTCCCCATCCTACCCCACCCTACGATCTAGGTAAAATATGAAGAGAAATACACAACTCCAAGAATATAAAAGGAGCTTGGTGATATGGACAAAAGCATTATGGGAAAGAAAGTGCACATGGGGAGAAGGGAGTGTTTCAACATTCAGGTCAGAAGTTCACACGTAACTAGAGCCCTCACTGCACAGCTTCAAAAACTTGTATGTAGCTGTTTATGAGGAGGCCACCTAAAAGGTCTTCAACTTGTCAAGGGGACAGAGGAACAAGGGGCATAAGAGAGATAAAGGAAGGAGGATCTCATTACACAATAAAGGGAATCTGCTCTGCAGTAGAAAATGGAGACTAATTTAAGCAGCAGCCTGCGATGCCTACGAGGTGCGTGTAGGGGGGAAGCCAACAGAGAGAGTGAAAACCTGCTTTACAATAAAGTTTTGCTACTCGTCTTCTAGAAACTGATCTGAGCCAACACATTCTCCTAGTTCAGACCCTTAGCTGGGACCCCGCAGATAGGAACCCCTGGGGGGAAAGTGCTAGGTTTCATTTCTGGTGCAACAGCAACAAACACAAACTTCAACTTTCCCCTTACTCTCTCCCAGGAGAGAAATCAATACTTCTTTTTTTCCCCACCAAAAAAATCAGGACAGTATGGATATAAAGCCTGCATTTTGAAAATAAATTGTTTCTTTCTAATAAGGGTCTCTTTCTTTCCCCCATTTCGTGCACTCATCTAACCCAAACCAGTGGAATTAAGTGGATGCACTAAGTACCTGAGCTCTGAATCAAGCGGAATACTGTTTTAGATCTTGTCACTGAACTCGAGCGTAACAAAAGGTTGAGACAGCACCTAGCTGCAAACAAATACTTGAGCAAGCTCGAGCCACAGTTGGATAGCTAGGCCATAGGGTGCTCTGGTGGAGCCCAAACCCTAACAATTTAGACAGAGAAGACAACAGGTCAAATTCTGCACCGAGCTATCGTCTCCCTTATGGACCCTAGCACCCTTTAGCTTGAACAAGTGACCATTCATGCCAAATCACGAGTATACCGGAGCATCAAAGGAAACATCAAGGTATTGCACACACTGAAACACACGCACTGAAGTCAACTGTCACCTCAAGGTCACCTGCAGTGGATGGCAGGCATGGTTTTCAGATCAGGGCACGTCCTCCGGGCTAAGAAATCACCTGCTAAAGAAACACAACCAAACCTCAACCAACCAACCGAAACAAAAACCTTGCCAAAACTCCTTAATGCATGTGTGTGGGTGTGGGGGGGCATGTGTGTGCACCCGAAAAGAGGCTATTTCATTCTGGGCTCCACGTAAATTTTATCTCCATCCCGAATGCCGTAGGAATGCAGTGCTCGCGAGCTGTATTTCATCTCCTCGGGACCAAAGGGAGCTTCCTGGTCCAAGTAGAAGAGCAGCATGTTGCTTGTTGACAACTGCACGACAGTTTTTAAGTGCTTCTTCAATTCTGCCACAGTCTGATCCAGACGGATGGACATCTCTTCCACCTTATCCTGGAAGTGAATCTCCACCTTCACGCTGCTCTGTGGCCGAAGATCCACCACTGCCAAGGGCTCCAGCTTCCCATACTTCGTGACCAGCTCGTGATACCTGTAAAATTAAACGTGTCCAGAGTTACAGCAGAGCTGCTCGTAGTGTTTCACAAGTCAGTTTCTGTTTCACATTATGATTCTACCGCACTTGAGCTGCCACTCGATGCAAGGATGCTATTAGGTTGCAAAGCATAAGCAAACATTGGCAAGGAGAGTACAGTGGCTGGATGACAAAAGGGTGAGCACAGGTCCCAGGGTGTGATTCATGTGAAGCCTGGAACTCTGATGGAGCTAAAACCAGAACCCAGACAGCAACGAGCTGTCCCCATCCTCCATAGCTGGCTCTTCTGAAACACCTTGCAGTTTAACTGGCACTTCAGTCAAGATGGGAAGGATGGATGAGGCTCTTATGTGTAAAGAATACTGCTGAGGTAGCATTCAAATTGCATGGAGCTTCTCTCCATACAAGGCTCCTTTTCCCTAAAACAACAGGGGAATTTTCCTAGCAGAGCCACACACTGCACCATCACTTTCTCTTTGGAGCCACGTTCTTCAACTGTCCCTCACAAGGCCCATCCTCGGGAGCCATCTCCTGCAATGGAAAGCCCATCTCACTCTCCCACTCCCTTCAGCAGGTATCACTCCAAGTCTGCAACTCCCCTGCCTGGCTGGGAAAGAGGCAAAACGACCACACAAAACACAATGTGACTGAAATGACAAAGACCAAGAGCTGCTGGGAATGGTAACGTTTCAGAGGCCCTCCACTATGTGCTGTACAGAAAGCTCTTTTTGTTCCCAATACGAGCCCGAGCTGAATGCGATCGGTGCTGTGTCACGGCCCCTGTTGAGAGATGATGGGACCTGGCAGGCTGGGTGACCCCAGGGAGTCCTGCTCAGGACAGGAATGCTCCTGAAGAACAGCAGACCCTCTGTCTGCAGGGGAATGAGGTAAGGGCCACAACGCACTAGGATTTCCCCAGTCTCACAGACAAAACGAGCTTTCACTAAGGCACAGCATCCAAAGGCAGGCTGGAGCCCTGCTCTCACACTCACCTGCGGAACGATAGGATCAGGCCTATTTCCTTGGAAAAACCATTAGTGCTCACAGGAGACGGCACACTCCCCATATTTTACCCACTGGGCTACTGCCTGCAGTAAGAACAAGTGCTAGCCAACGTGTCGCCAGCAGAGAGGAGATCTTTGCAGCACAGTTTCCAACACCTCTGGAAGGATGTGGTCAGGAGAGGAAAAGAGAGCAAACCTGCCCTTTGCTGCCCGCAGACCATTTTGGGATATCCCTTCAGCTCTCATCATCTCCACATGCTGCAACCGTTCTTATGTGCCAACCAGAAGTAGTTCATGCCTGGGGAAACTGCAGTGAACAGGGCTGATGGTGGGAAGAGTATAAAGATGGGGGCAGATTTCAAGCCAGCTGGGAGAGAGAAGCACCAGGAGTGGGCTAAGATTACCCAAATGCATGCTGTAAGTATGCAGAGGGTCAGGCAATGCTGTCTTACATTTTCTCATGTTGAGGAAATGCAGAACAAGGTTTGAAGCCTGCTCCTTGTATACTAGCTGCAGCCTGCAAATAAAGTTTAGCCTGAATGACTGGCTTCCCTCAAATCAGTAAGAACGAAGGCACTCTGCTCATATGGTTCTTTTGTACCCCAATAACAGGCACCCTGGAGACTTTCATAATCACCCCTTGCAGCCTGGCAGTCGCTGGCTGCCAGAGCAGAGGATGCTGAAGAACTGAGCCCGGCTAAAAGTGTCTCTGATACTCTGCAGATAAACAGCAGACCAGGCAAGCGGAGGACTCATTAAAAACCCACAGACACAAAGACGTCAATCAAGAAGACAGCCAATATTGGACTGTAGGCTCAGCACTGCTTTCTAACCCACAACATCCAGGCAGAGATTACTCTTTCCATTTCCCTCCTTTCTGATCCCTTTGAGCTGCAGCCCATGAAGACACGCAATGCAAGCAGAGGGGTTTGCTGTGTGCTCTTCACTTATCACATGCTGCACCTCGACAGCCTTGCGGGGGGCTGCTTACACTCGTGAGGTTTCCATGCCCAAGCGTGTCTTCTTCCTCTGCTTGAGGCAGCACTGCAATGCAGATGCCATACCCCAGCAAGAACATGCATGTGTCCTGACTAGACTCTAATTATGAATCACCTTCAGAGAAACCACACCAGATTTGGAAGCAAATAAGATGAAGCTTTAGCAACAAATACACACGGAATCACTGCAGAGAATGCCAGCTTTCCCTTCCTACAAGGGCTGCTGCACACGGGTCCAGGAACTGAAAACCAGCCCTCAGCACTAGGGACACTCTCAGCCATCTGCAGCCTTGTTAGAAAATAGCTTGTAGTGGCACACAACTCCTCCAGAACAGAACAATCCTCTTTAGTAGCTGCTTAAGTCCCTTGGAAATGCTTCACAGATGAAGGGATTCAGACAAAGAACCCATTGAGCAAGAAAAGGGCAGTAACAGTGTTTAAAGGTTAAGAAATCAAAGGAGGAGGTAATTCTCCTGTACCTTAGTGAAATAGCATAAAGCTAGCATGCTGGTTATACCCAGCTTGTTTGGATAGGACGAGATACCAGTTAATTCTTACATGAGCTCCTGTCTGGAAACTGACCCTAGTTGCATGTGGTACTATATGCACACAGCCTGCTCCCAAAGTCCACATCCTAACAGTAGCATCAAGTTGTATCCCACTGTATCCTTCTAAACAACTGGACAAACAAAAAACTTGTCACCACAATACCCAGAGACACAAGGAAAAGAAACAGAGTCTGACATCAACTCATTTAGTCGTCCTCTTATGCACAAGCCCTGGCAAGCTCAGTACTGCACACACATTCCACCAGGATCAAAGGGCTACTCATACCTTAGCGTCCCTCTCAGTATGCAGCTGAATACATCGTTATTCTCCCCTTCTAGAGCCACAAACACAGGGAACAAAACAGTTTTGGTACAAATAAAATGTTACGGAAAATAATCCATTTTGGGAGCAGCACCATGAGCTCACGGTCCCCGGCTCCCCATCCTCTCCCCTGCATCCTCCGCCTCTGCTGCAATTCCTGCCAATATTTCTTTCCATTTTTCTGCTTCAAGGACTTTTAAAATTACAAGCAGGGCTTGTCCTCAGAAAAAGCCACAAGAGGGATCACCAGCTGTCTTGCTTCCCTGACTACATTAGTACCCTTCGCCTCTGAACTGACCCCAGGATGCCTTTAACAAACACAGTAATTGCTGGACCTATTAGTAGTCACATGAAATGCCATGCCCTCATTCCCCATTCCAGCCCTTCCTTGCCCTTACTGTATCGCTAGGGCACATACACAGACAGGAGACAGTTTACTTAGGAGTTAAGCTGGAGGAAACACCAACCAGATTCCATTTGCACCTTTCTTACCCGTACCAGGCCATACCTTTGACCTTCTCTGCCTCAGTTTCTCCCTTCCTCTGTCTGGAAACACATACACACTCTTGTCCTACCCTCTTTCCATAAAGAGAGGGCTCCAAAGCTTTGCTGTCTGTAAAGCACATAGGGGTTCCAGGGCAAAAGGCATGCCAATGCAGTGGCTTGATGTTCCGTGATCCTTCCTCAGCCCATTAAGAAGCAGTAAGTAGATGCTGGCACAGAGAAGATACCAACTGAACAGCATCTGTCAAAGTTCATTAGTTTACCAAGATAAACGGATCATTGGGCATACTTTTTTTGGCACAGAAAACCCATCAGATTTGTGATTTGTGGGCCTGAAAGTGAGGGGACAGCATCCCATCACCAGTCACATTCCACACACCAGATGGTCAAGAGAATTAGACGCCCTGGCCTGGCACCAGAGAACACGTTTGTACTGGCTTGTGGGGACTCCCAAACACAGGTGGATTATGAAGCTAGCCATCAGGGAGGCCAGGAAGCAATGAACATCATGAATTGAACAGTCATGTGGTTTAATGGCACTTGACATGGACACTCTAAGACTAAACCTGACTCAGAAGTGATTCTACAAGTCATCAGACAATATTCTAATATAACAACATTAACTAAAACAGACTGAGGAAGGCAAGACATGGAACAGCTAGCCTGATATAACACAATCCGTTCTGTCACCTTTCCTTTTGCCTTGCTGCCCTTCTGCCCCTGCTCTCCATTCCATGACAAAGAGCATACCTGAACGGGACTTCCTCCTCTGGGAATTCCATGTAATACCGGATGAAGAATCGCTCCGAGTCCTCTCGCTCCCCATCGGCAACGATGCTTCCGTTGAGCTTGACGATAGACGGCAACCTGCATGCAGACACCAAGAAATACAGTCAGCAAGAAGAGAAACCCACAGGGTGACTGACAAGACAGTCACCGCCACATTCAAACCAAAGTATTTTCATCTCACGTGTGCATCGTGTGCACAGGTACGTATCAGGCTCAAAATTCGATGAAAAGCAGAGAAATCAGGCTCAACATTGCCACTACTCCCATTTTCCAACACAACAAAGAAACCAAAGCTCACATCTTCTTGAGTGGTGAATTCACACCAAACCCTGTCTCCTAACAGCCTCTTCCTCCAATTACCCACTCCCAGCCATTCATTACCATGTAACTTCTGCTGAGCACAATGAACAAGGAACAGACCTGGCTATTAGCAGCTTCCTGCGCTCCTCAGTGGTGTAGGACTGCAGCAAAGGGATTCCTAGCAATTTCACTTCCTCGAGCTTGGGAAAAGAATTTAACTTGTCAATGTCTTCCCAGCAATGCAGACCTGCTCAGAAGAAAAGACTTGCTTAAACAAACACAGATAATACATCGTGTATCCAAGATAACAAGACTATACATGACAGGCGAGCATCAGATCCTGTTTCTGGGAGAAGTCAGCCTTTTGATCACGATGTACTGCAAAAAGTCTCTTTCATTTGCTACAAGACAAAGCAGTTTAAATTCACTCATGATGGTTTGGATGTCTAGAAGGATGATCTCCACGGCTGATTAGGGAGCTCAGTTTTTTATGGACTCTTTGGCCTCACTGCTGACGACTGACTAGCATCAGTTATGACGGCTGCATCTATAGAGATGCTGCCTTAAGTAGTATTAAAGTTATCAGGACTTTGGCCATTCTAGACATCACTAAATAGCTATTAAATAGCTTTAGCTCACACACATGACCACCTTGGGTCCCATTTCCACTCCTGACCCAAGGGTAAAACAGTCCCAGAAGCCATCCAGCCATTTAATGAAAAAGACTTTAACTCAATTTCAGCCCCCTGAAGACCTGACATCTGGGATAACAAAGCAGGCAGAGAGTGTAAAATAAAATAGGATTGAGCAGCAATACAGCCCTCATTATGTGCTGACATCAACACTTCTCATCTTCTCTTCCCCTTGCTGTGACTGCAGAAACATCTTCTGTGATGCTTTTCTGATGACTGCTCCAAAAGCTTACACTGGCAATGTGAGTTAGGAGACTGGTTTCTCTGAACAACACCCAACAGCTTCACCCACACAGTACAGAAAATGAGAAAAAAAACAGAAATAGTACTGGTTTAAATAAAATCAGGGGTCTCATTTGAGCCTCAGTTCAGAAGAAGGGGCTCTTTTGAGAGCAGAAAGAAAACTAAGCATCACGGCAGGCAGGCAGAGCTTCCGTTCCCCATAGCACTCAAAACACATCTGCCAAGTGTTTAACATGCTCCTTGGGATTTCTGTTTGACTTCCAGCTCCCAAAACATCAAAATGCAATATAGAGTCCAGAGTTCTTGAATATCTGGCATCAAAATTGCAAAACTACTTACCACAGGAGCACTCGCTACACCGTGAGACAGTGCTTTCGAATCCAGCTTAACAGGCTTTTCTTCCTCTAGTTAGCTTTAAGCTTTTATTATAAGGATTCCTTGATGCTCACATTGCAGAGCGTGTTAATAAATCACCTTCTACCTTGGCTAACACTTAACTATCACTTGCACAGCACATAAAGCTGTAAAGAACAGAAGATTATGATGCATTAAGTACTCCTGCAGAAGAACTTCTGGCATCTCACAAACACATCAGAGCCCTCACGAGCTGCCCTGCAGCTCCTGCTCCCCGAGCATGGGGTGCTCTTCCTGATATGCCAAATGCTGCTTCTCTTTCTGGAGCGTTGGCTGAAAATTCTCTAGGGCTGAAATGTAAAAGCAGCCTCAAGCATAACTTGTGAGCTTCTAATAACTGAGCACACATGACAGACAGCCCTCACATGCCACATACACTCATTTTCACTCAGAATAAAAGAGGGATTAAAGGCAAATGGGATTCTTTCATCCCCTCCACAGCCAGACACTTATCCTTCTCCAGCCAGAAGCATCTGAGGCTGGGACAGGAAACAGAGGGGAAACTACTAATGTAAAAAACCTGTGGAAGCTCCTTTTGAGTAGCTGCAGGTCCATGCTCCTCTGACTCATCCTTTAGACAACGACTAACCTCAAAAAGCAGCAGGTGAAGCCCACAGAGATGGGCAAGTTGATTTCTTGCCCGTTTTCCTCCCCTAATGCTCCCTTCTTCAGGTCAGGACACTTGAGTGCATCTGCTTGCGTAGCCCTGCATTAGCACCATTAGAAAACTGGACGTGCCAGGCCTGTTGGGACTACATTTATCAACAGCTTTTCGACCCTGCAGAGAAGCCAGGACAGACTGCTCAAAGGTCACTGGGCATTTCCAGCTCTGCTACAGCAACAGAACTATCCCAATGGTTTAGACTCTTGCTCAGCACTTCTGCCTTCACCTGCCCTTTCTCCTACATTGCAGGAAGCAATGCTGACTGCAGGCTACTTAGTGCTAACGCAGCCTGAGAAGCAAGCACCTCAAGGCTGACGTTTCAAAGAGCACAAAGCAAGTGTGGGTTTTCACCTTCTCGAGAGGAGAGGCTCAATGCAGAGAACAAAAAGCATACTGCTTCCAGGCTCTCACCTGACTTGTGCAAATTGATGGATCGCAGGTTGGGGAACAGCCTTGCTAGGGAATCCTCTGACTCTTCAATGGTTGTGAGGTTGTTGTTAGCCAGGATAAGCGTGTCCAGTGATGGAAACATAATTCCCAGTTTTCGAATTTCAGTCCAGTCTTGAAGATTGTTATCAGTTATGTGGAGTAATTTGAGAGACTGACAGCAAACTGGAGAACAAGACACTGTTTCATAGTCATTAAGGCACAGAAAGAGCTCCTCCAAGCTGCACAGGGGAAGAAAGATCAGATCGCCATCTCAGCATACATTGAGATCTCAGGTACAGGGACACGCGCATGCGCTTTTAACATGACTTTCTACAACAGCTCTTATGTGATTTGAGAAGCTGGTGTAGAGAAGAGATTTGAGCATTCTGAATGGAGCATCTCTGCTTCCATTTGTAAGCTTCCTCCACAGATGAAAAACACCTCCAAGTGTTCCCCTAGCCCCCCAGTATTAATCGTGTAACAGATTGCTCTGGGTGGTGTCCCACATGTGTGCCCAACAAGCCACCAACCCAGCCCCAGTGGTGGCTGGTAACTGCTCTCAATGCTCACAACTTATAGAGGTGTCTTTACATGACACTGATGATGCTTTTTTCCCTACATCACTGGTTTTGCCAAATATCCCCATTAAAGAATAAACAGGTCCCACTAGGTTTTCAGCCAACTAAACTAGCTCTCCTAATCCCAAGGAAGTGAGCATTGGCCATGCAGGTTATACCATTATCATCATCTCTGCTCACAAAGCCACACAAAGAGGGATCCCTTATCAAATTGAAGCCACTGAGGACATCTGCAGAAGCAGAATGCCTTTGCCAAGGTGGACTGTGGCCAAGCCACAGAAATCAACACTTTTGCCCAGAAAATCATGATGAAATATTACTTGACAAGCAGCCAGACCCTCAGACTTGCATCTCATTCAAAAGCTATTAGCACAGGTATGCATCGCACCATTCATTCTGCAGTGACTCAGAGGAAAGCACATCACCTCCTGCATTGTTGGGGTCATTATCCATCCCTGGTATGCAGATTTGGATGAGAAGCCCAAGGCTTTGCAACACCACTGATGCGCTTTTAAGACAATGTGAACTATTTACTTGGCCAGTTCCCCCCTCATCCCTCACCGTGTGATTTGACCTGCATAGAGCAAGCACCCCTTTCTATGCCCCACTTGCCACGCTTACTCTGGTAATTCCTGCAGGATTGTGTGGACTGTCTCCCAGGAAGCTTTGCTGTTGTTGAGCACAAGTTTGCGAACCCCAGCGAAAGAGCCAGCACACCTTCGCTCTAAAACGGACAAACTGAGAGGGTTGGAACTCAAGTTTAGAAACTCCAAGTGGGGAACGTTGGACACAATTTTACTGACCTAAGTGGGGAGGGAAAAAGAGAGAGAAAGAAAAGTGTATCAGGCAGTGATCTAACCTCATGCATTAACACCCTATCCCCTAAAAGAGGGGCCTTCGGAATCACCACGAGCCAAAGAAATTATACTGGGGGGGGGGGAAACAATGCTTCTGGATAACTACCCCCTGTAAATCATACTCCTGCTATTCACTGATCTAGATCGATTGGTTAATTGCTCATTCACCTCAACAGTTCATTTAATTACACTCTCCAAGCAGCCTGATAAGAGAAAGCCTGTCTCTTGCGAGAGGTCGTAAAATCCACCTCAACACCAAGATTAAGCAGCAGCACGCTCCAGGAGCCAGCATACTGTACCTCTCTTTTAGCAGGAAGGGAATGGGCACATCTCTTGGGTTTATGGCCAACACTGATCACTTGCTCGGGTTTATGCTGCTCCCCACTAGCCACAGACATCACAATTTTGCCCAACTTAAAAGCCAGAAGCTCACTGCACACATACAATGGATTCCTTACTCAATTCCATTACTCTGAAAACAGCAGCTTTCTTACATTCAATCCCAGTGTTGGATGGGAAGAGATGGGGCAGACCATGACATACACAGGGCCCAGCTGCTAGCAAAGGGCAGCTGTATCATGCAGCAGTTGAAATCAAGTGTGGAATGCATGATGCTGGAGACAGCCTCCCTCAGAATAAGACAAGCCAGGAGACAATCCCAGTTCATAGCAGATACACCCTCAGTACAAAACCATCTTCCCTGGCTCTAATCTCAACAGACAAGCCTAACATTTCTCTCCTACTTGCTGAGCTAACACCTTCTAGGCTAACATGGAAATAACAGGAACAGGGAAACCCATCCCGATTCTGGCTTTGTGACCCCCACGCCAGAGCTGGGACATTTCTGCAAACACTGAGCTAACAACCTGTTTAAAGATAAGAGTTTGATGCAACAGAAACACATAAACATGCTTATGTTGCAGATCCTGTTCTTTTCCATATATTTCCAACAATAAACACTAACATAAAAGCAGAGCATAAGCCAGTGAGGAAATGTTAACAACTGAACACATTGCAATTGGTTTACTCATATTACATTGCATTTAGCTAGCATAAATGCACCCAAGCACTTCAGAGGATTTTACATTGCATTTAGCATTAATCAATGAGTCCTCAGAAATATCTTTTGAGGTAAAAGTTATTAAAACCTGTTTTGCAGATAGGGAAACAAAAGAGGAGAGAGAATAAATACAGAATTGGTAACAAAGCTGGGAATCAGCTGCCATTACTTGGACCTCTCAGTTCTTGCTCTGTTAAAAACTGCACTGTTCATTAACCTCTTGATATTAGAAATGGCAGTTCAAGTGCTTTGCAGGATAAATATATATATGTATATACATATTTGTTATGCCCAGGCCAAGATCATAAGTCATGAGGTAAATGTATTGAAGTGCCCAAATGGATTAAATTCATCTCGTGTATTGCTCAGTTGTTGTCAGAGTAAATAAGCATCAGCTTCAAAGGTGAGAAAGAAGTCACAAAAAAATGGAAATCTCTCTCATTTAAATGAATAAAGCACTCTTCTAAGCTGCAATGCGTTTGCAGTCATGGCAATAGCCATCAAAGTTACTCAGAAAGATGCACATGTAGCCATTTTACCTCATGCCAGTCTTCCAGTTTATTGTCAGAAAGATCTAGCTCAGACACATGAGCACAGAAGGCAGCTATTTCATTCTCATCCCCTGCACAGGTTATGCCACAGCTGTTCAGTACCAGCACACTCGGAAGGTTGAGGCGATCTGAAACAGGGAAAAAGAAACGATGCCCTCTGGTCAGCATTGTGTTGCTTACTTACAGAAGGCAACAACAAGCACAAACATGACACTGAGCAACAGGAAAACTCTACCAGTAATTCCCCCATTTACACATGTTTAGGGATCTCGGGATAAACATGGATTTTATAACAAGTGACCAACAACAATCAAGAAGTCTTCTCTTGCCTAAACAGGAAGTACCACTCGGTATCAGTGCTCTTCAGTTACCACATGTATTTCTGTTCACACGGCAGCAAGGATGGGGCAGTCTTTCATAGTTTGCAGTATGTCTCATATCAGCTCTTGCCAGAACTTCTGCTCTTCCCCAGGCATCTGCTGCTGCAGATAGGATGCAGGACTAGGTGGACTGTTAGTTGCACAGTCAGACTCCCTTATGCTCTGGTACTTAGCCCACTTGTGGTTACTAACAGCAAAGATGTACTTTAACATTTCCATTCTAAGCTTTCCCTTTCCAACAATGTAAAACGTTCAGCATTCTTGCAGCCTGCAAAAAGCTCATGTCTTTACTCTGCCTTTTAAATTCCTGTTTTGCTCTAGTCCCTGCTCAGGCAGGTAAAAATTCTCCCAGCTATTTCACAGACAAGGACTTGGATCTCAATGACAACCTCATTCGGTAAGGCCAAACCATGACAAAGTTACAAGCTATAGATCTGTAACAGGAAATCATTTCAACACAAGAAATGCACATTTAGGCAAGGCAAGCCATCAGTCTTACACTCTTCTGCATACAGTACAGCTCTCCCACCTCTGTGGAGTATCTAAATCTAACAGCAAGCTTTTGCCTGAAAAGATGGCTCTTTTTCTCTCTCCTTAATACTTGATAGTTACACAACTAGAAAGCAATTCTAGCAGCAGACAATTATATGGTGTCATCAGAGCTTACAAGTTTCCTGCAAGCTTGTTTATTAGTATCCAGCTTCTTTAAAGGGTAGTGTTGTACTTGGGGAATTAGTTATGATACGCTTGTAAGTCGCATCTCAATCACATTTTAGACTTAAAAACATGCCCTTTTCCCAGCATCTAAATAGCTCAGTAAAGTGGGTGCTCACACACCAGAGAGAGGGCACTGACTGAATAGTCCATCAGGCCCATTTCCTGTTCATGTTAATTTTGAGCAACACGCTATTCGGTTTATCCTCAACTGAACTCAGGCCCTTTTTTTCTCCTCTGTCACACTCAGTAACTGTGAACTTCATCCAGCTGACTTCCATGGCTCTTTTCCCCTTTGGGGCTGGTTATGATACAAATTGACTTGACGGGATTTAAACCACACTTACCAATCAAGATGGGTAAGAGGTTACACAAAGAAGAGGCAGTTCCACTAGCACACGGCACCGACCTCAAATTCAGATCAAGTGTTATGTATTTGTTAAGCCATCTCTGCCAAAATAGCCACAGTTGCAGCCAATAATGAAAGAGCTGGAGAAAATTAACTCCAGGGACTGCTGAATCCTCAAAAGTCAGCCTGTATAAGGCCTTATTTCTATCTTTCATTGACAGATTCTGACTCTGTTATGCTGTAGGGAAACTTACTTTTTCCAGCAACCGGTTCAGCCCCTAGATCAACTTTCTTTGTTAGACTGCAGTCTCTCAGTTCTTCACAAGGAACACATTATAATACACCATGATGTTTCTTTTTCTGGTTAATTCAGGGCAATTCTTTCAACAAAAGAATGCCCAAGAAACTGATCCCACCCAGAACCCCACAGATGCTCAGCAAGACCAGAAGCCTGGTTCACCTACCTTTCATAGGTGAGCCCTGTGGAGTTGCTGGGACATGCACCCCCATACCAGGTCCACGACGATATGGGAAGTTCTCAGGGCTGTATTTCTCACAAAGAACTTGCATGAAACTCCTTCCACTGGGCTGGTCCATGCTCCCTTCTTGGACTTCTGGTTAGCACTGAAAAAACAGAGCACACAACCAGTCAGCAACCAATAATAATCTCCAGTACTGGTCCTTGAGAACACAGATCACAGTGTCTCGATGGGTTACGTCTAACAGGTCCTATTTCCAATTCAAAATTACAGTCAAACATTACCTGAGATGAAACCAAAACCAAGCAGAGGGTCCAAGCTACACAAATGTGCTTTCAATCATATCACAACAGGCCAAGTATGAGACCTTCTTGTCCCACATGTTCTTACAGGACAATTGCCAATGTGCCCCAGGCTGCAAAACATGATTTCTGTACCTGCCAAGAGGGCTGTGTGATACTCAGATATCTTCAAGCACATTTCCAGGGCAGCAAGAAGGGGAAAGAGCAAGAAGCTGTTTCTGGGTAAAAGATTGCTCAAACAAGTGTTTTCACCCTTGTCTTTAACTCAGGACTTTCTGTCAGGATCAGCTTTTTGGATGGGGGAAAAAAAGAAAGGCAAAAAGGATCCACACTTCTCTAACTGCTCATAAAGAAACACTCTGCAAAGCAGGTTATGGCTTGCTTTCGTAATATCAGGACAATGGTGTAAAGAGCTTGGAGCCTAACGCTCTGATAGCAAGACTTCCATCAGCTGGCTCACTGGGTGTCATGGAACTACTTGAGTTTGATGGTAAGCTTACTCAGGGTTCTCACCCTCCTCGACAGCAGCGGCCCATTCAAAGCAAGCTTTGGCCTCATAAGAAGCATCATCATTTCTTCTCTGACACTGGCAATGAACTACAGCCCTCCCATCTTGCTTGCAAACCTGTTCTTCTGATTAGAGTGCAATTGCTGTGTCACGAAAGACTCTCGAGCACGTATGAGCACATCATTTGGCCAGTCCAAAAAGCCAGTTTTGCCAATTCAATTTTGCAGCTGCTTAATGTATCTGGAAGATAAACGTGCCCTTCATATCTGTGTCTGTCACAGAACAGCACAGGAAAAAGGACTCACCACACTGCAGGCTGCCCAGAAAGATACTGAGTGTCAGCTGGAAGTATATTTGGCACAAAGACACCGTGATGGTCGGCGTTCTGCTGTACCCTAGGTGGAACTAAGCTTATCTGTCCTACTTTCCTGCGCATAGGCTGACCTTGACATTGTATAGTTGTCTGGATAATGAAGGAATTTAGCTTGATACATGCACCAAGGGAACCACATTGCTCCCAGGTTTCACACAGGCTGTGTAGTCCAAAGCAGTGCCTGCTACCAGCCATGGACACGGAGCAGAGATTCACATCCACGGGTTCTAATACAAGGCACGGATTCAACTGCAGGTTTCCTACAGGGTACCATTAGTCATGGAGCAGCATTTTTACTAAGAACTGCATCATTACATTTCCAGTATAGCAGCAAAACCCAGCTCACAAAGATACATACATTATGCACATAAACCTGCACCTCCAGGTGGAAATCCTTACTTCTGAGCTCCTGTTGGGGCCACATGCATGTTGAAAGTGATGTTGCTAACCGACACTGCATTAAAGTTTGTGCCTGCTGCCATAAACTTTCCTTTAGCTTTATTACAGGAAAGGAGAGAGAGAAAATCCTGAGCAGAAGGGATTTAACTGAGGTTCAGGTTCCCTTTGCTGAGAATTGGCTGCTTAACAAACTACTTCTTCATAAACAGACTAAGGTACTTCTGTCACAAAGGACTTCACTATAACAGGAAGCAAGCTGACTGAAGCCTGTTGTAATTATTATATTATATAACAAGTTCACATGTCACAAATAGGGACTTAAAGGATTGGTCTTACTTAAAATACCCCAACAAAACAAACACACCTTTTGCAGCCCTCAACAACTTGGCTGATGTGTATCTCAAACTGAACCTCCTGTCACTAGATTATCTAGAATCAAGAAAGAAATCAAAGTTTGCATTAGGAACAAGGCATTTAGTTTCCTGCTACACCATTCTGCATGCTACAGGAACAATTTGCATTGACAGCCAAGGCTTTAGGCTGAAAGGCCTCATTCCAGAAGCAGGTCTGGAGCTCAGTGCTGCAGGACACACTGATACTGCTCCCTGAATGCACATTCACACATCCTGGTCTGGAAATTCTGGAACTCCCCCATGCATAAAGCTCTCTGTCCTTCACATTGCTTTTTTATCAGCTCCATTCCCCTTTATCTGCTGAGCAAACATCAGCTGGAATCCCAAATGAGAAAGTCACCTTAACATAACAAAAGAGGCAAAAAGCTGTGTTTTCAGCTACACTATGAGTGCAACCCAGAACTGAGAAAAAACATCCCTAATGCCATTTACATTCACCAGCTTTGAATCACAAACATTTTCTTTCTCAAGCTATACTTTTGCATGCCAAGGCCATTGCCGGATGACAAAGATGTCAGGGAGCGGGCAGCCACCTTTCCCACTTCCCTTCTCCTCCCCTTTCACATTCACTATAATCATCTGTCATGCACGTGGCTCCTCTGAATCACTACGATTGCTCGAGAGCAAGGACTAACAACATGCAAAGCAAGGATGACACATTTCAAGTGCACGTTGCCTGCACAAGGGCAGGGTGCTTTGCAAGGTGCCCATTTCCGAGTGCTTTTCTGCCGATGGCACAAGGCACAGCTCACGGCCTGCCATAACTCTGGGGTTTCTGAATGACAAATGTATGCTCCAAAAGATACACTCAAGTCTTTGGAAGGAGTCAACGAGTCGTCTTTGTTGTCTATATTTAAATGCTCTGCCAGAAGGCTGTGGCTCCAGTGACACACAGCATGGCATGTGTCTACAGAGAGCACGAGCCTGACTCAAGATCCAAGGCAGTGAAGTGACAAGAGAACACCAGAAATGACATGAAAAACGTTTCTATCCCCATGCTATAAGCCTATGAGGAGAACAAGAGACCCTCCAGGAGAACTGCATCACTAATGCCATTCTAATGAAGCCCAGTGCCACTCGAATGCCTGCAGAGCAGGTCCTAACCAGCCACACACCGAACACACTTTGACATGTTTGGATAGACGGAAAGCAAAGCGTAAGGAATAGATGTGACAGGACAAACATCTGTCTACGAGAAGCTGCTGTGTCCTTCTCCTATGACACGATTCAGGATTATTATACATGAAGCGCTCTTGACAGACAGAGATGAACAGCATCAGGGTAGACACGCTGACCCTGCCTCTGACAGAATGCTACCAGCACTCCCCTTGGGGGCTGCTGCAAAAACAAACTCCACCGCACAAGTGTGCAGCCCCCCTTGCCGGCTCCTGCCCTGCGCTGTGGGGCCCCACGGTGCGGGGCAGCCCCGAGGCCCCATCCCCGAACGCCCGAGAGCCCCTGGGCCGGCCCGGCCGACTCCAACACGGAGGTTGAACTGCCCCGACCCCCCTCAGACCCCCCGGGCAGGTCGGATGCGGGTGTCCGCGGGTGGCAGTGGCCTCCCCCGCCGGGGCAGCGCGGCAGGAGCCCGGCGACACCGGTGACAGCCCCGTTCCCCCCCCCCCGGCACCCCCGGCCCCGCTCACCCAGGCCCGGCGGCCGCGTCCCGCATCGACCCGGAAGCAGCTCGGCGGCAGCCAAATATCACGTGACTGAGCGCGGTCACATGGACAGGGGGCCGACCGGCGGAGGCGTCCCGGTTGCTATGGAGACGGAGACTCCATAGAGGCAGCAACATCTGACGTCACCTAACCGCATCGTGACGTCAGGCAGGGATGCAGGAGGGTGACGACATGATGCCCGCACCCCCTATGGCTCCCAGCCCATCCAGTGCCCCATCACCACCCGCACGGCTGCGCACTGGTACCCGAAGGATGCGCAGGGGTAAATGATGCTCGCTCCCAATGTGATGACGGCCTGTGAGCATCCTTCTTAAGGCAGAGCTCGTTATTTATCTGCCCTATGTCCTCTGCGGTGGCACCTTTCCTGCAGTGGCTGGTCACGACTTTAGGAGGAGGGAGGATAAATCATGCAGGGAATAAGGACAAATCTGCCTAGCAACAAGCCTGCCGGGTTCACCATCCCCATCCTTACATTAGAAGCATCAGAAACTGCCCAAAACGTGGCCTCTCCTTCCTGCAGTTTGGAGGAGAGCTGCATCAGTCATGGATGAATAGCTGCAGCACATCTGCACGCTCTCCCCAGCCTGTAACATCATCGGGACAACCTCATCCTGTTACTTACACACCCTGATTTATGCACAACCCATCCAGGCAGCAGCATACAATGGCAGCATTGTGGGTGCTACCCAGAACAGTGCTCAGCATCAGCTCCATGGTGTGTATGTGAGAGACTGGTTTAACTCCTGCTCTGCCATTCTGCCTCCCTTTGCACTGACTCACGCGCACAGATTTACAGCCAGGAGTCAGACAGCTCAGGCTAGTCAAGGAGGCAATTCTTCTGGGAACCCCACAGCTAAAGCAGCAAAAAACCTCCATCCCATGAAGCAAAGCAAGCCTCAGGCAGACCACATTAGCCCCAGCTGCAAAGTTAAAAGCTGCATTAGGCTTAAAAGTGCCCCAATGTTACCACCCCTAAAATTCAGCAACTCTGTCTCCTATTCCCTGCTTCTCCTTGGTGCTGGGACTTGGTTCACTCACAGTATATGTCCTCAAGACACTGGTAGGGAAAGTCTGAATTCCCAACATCGCCTGATGCAGCATTATGAAAGATTCACATTGCTGCTGTGCACCCCAGGGCAAACTCCACCATTGCCACTATGGGAAAGGGGTCAGGGTTTTCAGGTGGCACAGTCCAAATCACACCCACTCTCTCCTTGTAATTCTGCTGTGCGGCACCGTATCATCCCCAGACTCCTTGCAGCAGAGCACTGGCAGCCCAAGCTGTCAAGTGCTGAAATATATGCATGGCTTTCACAGGCCTGACTTCCCTTAAGCAGAGAGAAAAACACTTTGGTGTTCTTTCTTATTACCCTGTTGACACAACATTGGTTTTATTTTGCTCCTATGCGGGCCAGCACAGATGAACACTGCCTTGCTAATGCTCCATAAAACCCCATCCACCTGCATGCTCTGAATGGCTTATTTGATTCTTTTAATACATTCCGGAGAGAGCTTTGTCTCCATTTGGTTTTCCTTCCCCCACTACTTCTCGTATCTGTTTCAGTGAGATAAAGAACTCCATCGCATTCAGAGGCTACACTCTTTTACTAACAATCCTCATGTTTTTTGCACAGCTTACGTGTGCTATTCAGTTGCTAGAAGGCAGACAGAGCATACTTTAGCTGGTAACTGGCACCAGCAGGCTACGTTCTGGTTTGAAATACATTTCAATTGCTGCTTTCTATAGTTACAGATCAACTGGATAGAAGAGATGTCCGTGTTAACCTCCGTTGGGTCAGTGCTGCAAGTGTGAGAAAGTGACCGGTGTATCCCCTGGCCTGCTTTAAAGACCATTCCAGCAGGGACTGGACAAGCCAGGAATTGTTAACACAATATAGTCTTTCACCTCTAGGGGCCAGTTTGAATTCAGCCCAAGCTAGGGCTGATTGAATGTGCTTATCATCCGTTGGCTGTCTCATTGTCCAAGTGAACTAAGTCTGATGGGTCTCAAACTACATTCCCCCCCCCAGCAGACAGGTATCCACTTGCTGAAGCTTTTTCTACCATTGGCCATCGTGGGTGACCCTTCCCTGGCAGACTCCTCTCTTTCCCACCACCACCTCCCCCCAGGATTCAAAAGGCCACGGGAACCAGTTCCCTCTTTACTTGCTTCCTCCCTGTCTGGCTGTGCAGGAGATGCCAAAGGTGGTGTTCAGCAGTGCTGGAGCTGGTTCACGCCCATGGAACCGGTGCCACTTAAGCAGCATTCACCCCATGGTGGGTGACAGAGCACCCCAAATCCAAATCCATTGTTTTCAGGCTTTTAGAGAAGTAAAAAACATCCTCAATATCTGAAAAAGTCCCATCATAATCCTTCCCTCATCACTCACGCTTCTAATGTACCACATCACCTGCTCTCAAGGGGGGCACCTACCAGAGTCCAAGCAGCTTCATGGGTTCCTACATACTGAGGGCAGCAGGGAACCACTGTTAACACCCAGAACACAAGCCACAGACTCCCCTGATTTCATTCCCATCTGATCTGGAGCAGCTCTTTCAGGCACAACAATATGCAGGCACTGTATTTAACTGTAAATTACCTGAGACGGAGAATCAAACACAGGCCATGCAAAATCAGTTCGTTTCTCACTACCTTAATGAGGGAAAATAAATAACGATAATAAAAAGGCATCATTCTAGTCGGAATGGGGCACCTAAACCCAATTACTTCCTAACCCACACTAATAGCGTTCGACAGGTCTCGCTGTGCCCAGGGAGGCAGCATCACGTCACACATGGGGACGCAAACCCACTGAGATCACAGAATTCCTCCGGGGTGTACATGGTGATAATGGCAGCGGCAGAGGAAGGAGCATCTGCTGCTTATCTGTATAATTTTCCCTATATTTAGGTTTTAGGGGGAGGAGGAGGGAGAGGACTTGAAACATACGCAATTTTCTACTTCTTTTCTGTAGCTTTTTGATCCTTTCGCTTCTGGGTTTGGCAACTGCAACTTTCTTCATCCTTGGAGATTATTCTTCCATTCCTCAAAGAGACTTCAATTTCCTCACAAATCTCTTTTCCTTTCACTTAATTTAAACATTTATGGCCAATTTCATGATTTAATAATGAGAAATAAAATTGGAGATTTACTAAGTGTCGAGAGAAGACCTTTC